AGAGCAGGTTTCCACATGGCGCTGCTTGCTTTCAGTCAGCACGGCAAAGTTGAGGGCTCGGAGTCGTGCATTTCTCCCTGGGCCTTTTCAGCTCGAAGACCGGAAAAACTCTCAACTCTGTGCACATCTCCACCTCCTGAACCAGCTTCCTTCAGCTAGCCGAGTGGTGTGTATATTGGAACGAGCCCTTTTGGAACATCTCATTACTTTTTGAAAGTATGTTTTGACACATTTAAATAGACAAAACAGATTTTTATTGGGTGCAGTGACGATAAGAGATGGTTCCTGTGGGTTTTTTAAGGAGGAGCACCCCCTCCCCGCTCCTCCCCAACACACGGGGCTAACGCGGCGGCCCCCACGAGCCTGACAGCAGCATGCAATCTGTAGACATTAGTGATAGCCATAAATTAGGATGTGCACAGCCATAGCATTTGTTTGCACAGTCAGTGTCTTCCTTGAAAGGTGCATAGAAGTTGCTGTTGCTTTGAGCTTTATGACTAAAACGCTGTCTTCAAGTGGTTTTGCCCTTGCTCAGCTCATGCTCCGATCCTTTTGAGATCTCTTGGTACCCAAGAGAGGGATTGGCCCTGCTGGGGATAGATGAGGGTCTTTGAACAGCTTTTTGTTCTGCCAGGAGTCACTGGGAGGTAGCAGGCAGTGACCCATCTCCCCTCTGAGGGTTTCAAAGTCAGGAGTCTGCCATCATCTTCATTGATTTTGGTGCCTGAGGCAGGGAGACGGTTTGGTTCGCAGCAGTGGCGGTCGTTTCAGCAGACTCGGGTGGTGCGACTGCTTCTCTTGCAGTGACCTGGAGTTTTGGACGGGCCAATGCTGTCCAAAACACCGTGCAGACATGGGGTGATGTTGGGAACTTGGAGGAAGGAGCAGAGGAGATAGCAGAGGCTGGATCTGTTTGTCTGAAGCCTCATCTGCCCTCAATACTAACAGGATTTTTGGACAATGCGCCTAGGCAAAATGCTGCTAGATGGGCCTCTGCTTTTTGCAGCAGCCCAGCTGTGGATCCCGCAGCGCCTGGGACATCTTTAATAACGGTGCAGTTCCTGGCAGACAGAATTCATTTAAAACAATTTCTAGGTCTCCCGGCCTGCAGCAAAGATAGCATTTTGCTATAACCTTTGAATGTTGCTGCGGAAGATGAGCACATCTTCAGCGTGTGGGCCTGCTGTTCCATGGCTGTTACCCCTTGGCCCCTATTCTGCAGAACTGCTTGCAGAGTCACTTTCTACACCTGCTTCTGCCATCTTTTCATAGGGCAGCACTGCCAGTGAAGCCTCCAGGCTCAAATCTGGAAAGTTAGCAAAAGAGAAAGGGCTTTGAATCTGCTCCATGTATCATCCATGCATGGATGGGCATCAATTCTGCCCAGCCAGGCCCCTGTTCACTCCTGCATGTGGGAAAGTAAATCCCTCATTCTGGGAGCTTAGCATCAGGGTCGAATCGGGCAGCAGCGATTGCCTGCCCCGGGTTAGGGTTGATGAAATGCATCTGGTAGAGCACTGTAGAGCCTGGAAGCATATACAACAATCCCTGCAGGTTTGCACTCTTATGAACTCAGGCCCCATCATTGACCTCTACAATAGATTTAATTGGCCGTCTCTCTCAAAAGCAAAGCAGTCCCATTAGTTACTACACTGTATAAATGTGTTCAGAGTTTGGCACCGGCGTATTTATGTTCACTTCTTTCCAGCGCAGATTTCAAATATGCACTTTGTTGAAACCAGTCTATTAATTTTTAAGCCGCCTGGAGCTACAAAATCGCTATGGGTGGCAGGCATTTGTGGTTGCAGCCCTAAACAGCTGGGAGCGCTGCCCTATTCTGTTGAAACAAGAACCCCCGCTCGCTTTTAAGAAGCTCTTAATCCTTTTTTATAAGACTTGTCAGTGTGAAGCGAGCAGGCGGTTTCAGTTTAATGCTGTCTGCAATTGCAGTGCGGCTTCTTTGGGGCGTTTCATCTGCGATAGCCATAGCCACGGTGCCGGGTTAGCGGTGGCCCTGTGCCTTACGTGGCAGGCAAACACCGGCATATTCGTATCTGGAGAGTCGGCGCTCACTGCATACAGAAATGACGCTGGGAGGAAGGGCAAATAGAGACGTTATGCAAGCACCGTCCCTTGAAATGAGATCACTTTGAAATTCCATTCACGGATGGACTTTTAATTTAAGGAATATGCAGTTGTGGAAGCAAGACAGTTTGCAGGTCATTAAATTGGTTGATTCTCAGTGCTGGAGAGCTAGACCGCTAGGAGATCGGTGCCTCAGTACAGTTGAGGAGCTCTCAGGTCTTCCAGGGTGGCTGTCTAGCTCTGTTTTGTGTGGATGCGCATAAAGTATCAGGACCCAACATTTATCTGAGGATTAGGCAGCCTTGTCCTAGGCAAGCGAGCTAGCGTATCAAGGGGGAGATTTTCAATTGGGAGTTGATGCTCAACTGGTTTTGGGGTTGTTGGTGGTAGCCGTGTTGGTCTAAGGACGCAGGCAGACACGGTTCTGTGGTATCTTTTATTAGACCAACTAAATAGTTGGCCAATTTGTTCTTTGCAAGCTTTGGGGCACAACCACCCTTCTTCAGGCATTGGGGAGAGTCTGTTTTTGTGCCTCTGAAAAATCAGTGTGCCGCGCCGAATCGTACAACTGCAAGGTGACGTCAGTCAAATAGCGACAGATGCTTCCATCACATGTAATTATCATGCTGATACAGGGGCTGGAAAAACAGAGCCGTGACAGAGACCTCATTGTGAGTATGTGAGATCACGTGGGGATGTTAAAACCTGCTAAGCCCATGAGGCCCTTGTAGCTGTAGTCTGTGCCTCTGTTTTGGACAGTATGGCATTACAATTAAATTGTCATCTCCTCCCAGCTCCTCTCCTTGCTCTTTACACCATGGATTTCCGGGGTAATGAAAGTGTAAAGAACTTCTTTGTTCCTCATTATCTCCAAAAGGGAATAGCCTCTGAATGGAGATGGCTTGTTTTAGAGAGGAATTGGCCAGACCGAGGACGGCTATCAGAGTCTGACTTAGATCCACGTATGTTGGTAGGGCATGACCTTATCCCAAAGATGAAAGACAGAAATAAAAAAGGGCTGCAGCACTTATCTCACTCCAGTTCCCCAATGCTAACACCCTGTGTTTCTTTTATTTTTTTGTTATAGTCAAATCCGGGCACAATCCACCCCGCTGGGCAGGATGTCAGTGGGGTTTGTTCCGCCCAGGCTTGAGGGGCTGACGGGCATTTAGCATGAGTCACGTTCAGGCACTTCAAGCTCTGGGCCGAAGCTTGCTGGCATATCCTGCAAAAGTGCACTCATTTAAGCGTGGTGATTCTGGGAGTAAGACACTGTACTTTGTCTATTTTGAGGCCTTGGAGCCACAACTGCTATCTACCTAGATTGATTTCCCATTGCTGCTATCTTCATCATCCCCCCATGCATGATGTACGACTGTCTGCATCTACAGGGATAACATGCAGAGTAGATTTCTATTAGTTGTAAGCACTATGGGGCAGAGCCTACATTTTTCAAAGGCTCAGAGGATCTCTAGTATGGACTGGATGCTGAAAAGTTGGTCTGTTAATTCTCATTAGCAACCTTAGCTTAGCATCCCCTTCCTTCTCTAATTTCCCTGGAGCTTCTTGTTGATTTAAATCTTTTTCAAACTCCGTTTTTCCTAGAGAAGTGTAATATTGTTGCTCTTACACACACAATCCCATAAACCAATTTATGCAGTACAGCGTCTTTGCAAAGACTTGTACCGAGCCTGAAACATCTCTTGCACTTGATTTCACTTTGCGGTCTGCCAGCTTGCGTTTGAAACAGCATAAACTCTTTTCACTTTAGATTTATCCGTGGTATTAAAGAGGCTGCTGCACCCGGCTTCCTTTACAAACATTCAGGCCTTAACACAGAAGTGATATTTGTTCCTGATTTATTTAGCTCTTACAGTCAGGGGCAATCTTTTTTTTTCACTCTAGCTCAGTTCTCCAAGAAATCCACGTTCCCGGGCCATTCTCCACCAGCTTGCTGTGTGGGGGGACATGTCTGCTGGTCGGTATTTCTGCAGCCCACTGACTTGCCAGTGCACTTCTCATAAAACTTTCCTCCATCAGACAGTGGAGATGTTCCCACCACGTTACATTCATAACTTTATTTTGCTCACGGACTCTCTTATGTTTTTATTCCTACCTGAATTTCTGTTCGATGAGTACTGTCGTTCAGGGAGCCCTGCAAAACTCTGCCGGGCCCAGAAGAGTACAATGCCATTGCTAGTCATCAGATCATCACCATGCAAGCAAACATGTGTCTGGCTGGTAAATTCTCCTGACCATTTTGAAAGGCTGGATACATTAATGTGCTTTGAGTTTCTCCGTTGGCTTACCTTTTTAGCCCCTCACTTTTTGCCTGCCCTGCCATGTATTTGTAATGCCTTCTGCTCGGTCGTTTCCTAGCTTCACAGGCCTTCTCCCAGGATCAGACCCCTGGGCCAAGGTTGGTCATTTTTAAATTGTAAGACACCCAACACCCCTCAGCTGAACTTAACATTGACTTAGGACCAGCCTGGCAGAGCACCCCGCTGGAAAGAGTCACCCTGGTCAGAAAGAAATCGCAACGCCCATGGGCTTTCCCAGAGGTTTCTTTAGGTGGTTTTTATGTCTAGGTGGTTTGACCTAGACATAGGAGGGAAATGATGAATTAAATAAGAGCTGCATTAATCGAACAGTTCTTGAAAAAAATAGAAATGTAACCCTTATTGCCACTCACTAATTGCACCACTATTCCACGTGCCGTTTTTCGGGGAGAAGGTTGCTTCTGAGGGACTGTGGATCGCAGGGAGAGGAGAAGCAATTGCATTGAAAGGTGTAACATAATACAGCAACCTCAGTCTGCCAAAAAGTGTCACTGTTGTTGGCTGGGCTTTCCCAGTGGTCTTTGTTTGGTGCCTTTTCCCCAACTAGAAGATAAGTTCCCTTTTTTTCTTTGATAGGAAAGAATGCATCTTCACCATTGATCCATCAACTGCCAAGGACCTTGACGATGCCTTGTCCTGCAAGCAGCTTGCGGATGGTATGACACCTCTTACACACTATTCTCTGTTTGTTTTTAGCAGCTGATGCCTTCCCACAGTTAGTTTTTCATGACAAAAATTTCTCAGACTTCTTAAAGCAGATCTCCTCAGACCAGTCTCTTAACCAACTCTTGGCCTCCGTGCAGGCAAGAGCCAATGTCTTCGCCATAGTAAGAGCTATAATTTGATCTGAGCTGCATTCCCCATGCCTTCAGTCATTGTGGGAGTGGCATCACGTAGTGGCCTAATCTACCTTGGGTGAGTTTTTATATTTTAGTAGAACTGGGTGACCTTGCATACAGCGTACTTGGAGAAAAGAAAGGACTTTTTTAAGGTGGTTTTCTGGATGAAGCTCCCTCTTGGCATTCATCGTAGAGACCCTTTTAACTCTCATTTCAGCTCTTGCTGCTTTTGCCTTTTAAGCTCTCTGGTTTGCCTGGTCTGCACTTGAAACTACTATAGAGTAGGCTGTGGAACAGCAAGTTCTAGGGAATAAATCCCGAGGGGTTTGATTTATGGAGCTTCCCACGTGAAGTCTTAACAATTATTGCAACAGTAATGTGGGGGGGATAGGAGGGGCGAGAGGGCTCTTGGCTCTTTCTGTACAGCTCCAGGAGTTCATTTGGTTTAGAAATACGCACGACATAATAAGCACGCTCTTGCTAATGCAGATGCTAAAAAAGCAACATGTTTCTGTGCGATCATCGGATCCGATCCTCGAGAGATTCACAGTCGCGGAGAAGGTTAAAGGCAGCACTCCAAAAGCTGGGATTATGTGGATGTGTTTTCCGCAAAGTGGTTTTGGGTTGATTTTGTTTTGAGCAACTCAGCCAATAAATTGTCATGTCATTTAGACCCAGATACAGTCTAGGATTACAGCAGTACAACAGAGATATGCAGTTCCCATTGAAAGTAAACGTGAGGCTAGTAAAATTATTTATGGTTCTACTGCATGCTGTCAGTTCTGAGGCAGCGTTAGATAAAAACTTTGTCTGGCGCTCTGCTTTTTTAGGTAAATCTGTACAGTGCCATCCCCTACCCCCCTGCAAGCTCTAAGTCGCTCAGAAATAACTCTTGAAACTCTGGGTATTTTGCTTGCACTCATCACACTTGCTAGGGGATTTACAAGCTATTGCTCCACTGAGACGTGGGCTGAATTAACTCCCGATTCACATGGCTACAAGGGAGTCCATGGTAGGCATCATGCCAAAACAGTTATCATTTTAAGTGTTACATGGATTTCTGTAGCACAGCAGCAAGTGCGAGAGTCCCCTTCAGATTCCCTTCTCAATGACTTCCTCTTATTTTGGGACATGAAGGTCCTGTCCTCCTGGCCTACATATGAGCAAGTGGAGGAGACCTTGGGAGATCAAGGTATACTTTTCCTCCCCCATAAATCTGACCAGTTGGGAAAGGAAGTCCAGAAGGACAGTACAGGGCCTGAGTGAAGGAACCGCTTCTCCACAGACAACGTTTTGAAGTCTTGGTTTTCCCAGGGATACTCCTTCTGTAAAATAAACCTTCTTGGTATAAAGACTCAAGAAGGGACAAGGAAGCACTCAATAGTTGTAAGGGGTTTCTCCTCCCTTATCCTGGGAGCAAAGGGCTAATTCCCCCCTGGCTTTATAGCCGAATCCCAGAAAGAAGAGAAACTTTAGCATCAGTTTCTTAGTTTATAGAAACATTTTGAAAACATTTTCAGGAGCCTCATATAGATTCCACATTTCTCCAGATGAACCTCAGCAAAGGAAAATGTGAGAAACAGTGAGTCCATCTGCAAGTCCGTCCTGATGCACCCTACCAAGTATTCATGCACCCCCTCACTTCTGATTGAAGAAATGGCAGGTGTCAATCTAGAGTCCTATAATAATCAAATGAAGCCACCATACCAGTGGTCTGAGTGTCTGTGACTTCCACATCTTGGCTAGAGCGGTGCATCCTTGGCTGTGCTTTCTGTTGATCATTATGACATTCATGATTGGAAATTACTCTGGATGGGGGAACCTTCTTTTGGAAGGATCTTATTTTCTGTCAAGGAGCTCTTGCCCTTCACTTACCCCAAATAGCCTGAGATTGACAGTGAAATCAGTGTGCTTATAACTCCATTACAACCCAAAGTTAGTAGGAGCATCCCTGCCTTGGGCAGGGGGTTGGACTAGATGACCCTTGAAGTGCCTTCAGTGAGTCTGTGAACAATGGCAATGGAAACCACCTACCTGGAAAAGCCAGTTCTTGTGATCACTAAATATCCCTGGGGCAGGCTTACCAGAGATTGTAGATAGAGCAACCATGGAAACGACCTTTAAACAATAGCTTTTCAAGTAATCATACGCTCCTTTTGTCTTCCAATCAGTATTGTTTTCCAATACTGGAAACAAGAGTTTGCAACTTAAATGGCAAACTCTTTAGGGGCAAGGACTTGGTTTTCATTTTGTCAGGTGTCTTGGACATCTGACTGGTATATAAGAGAAGAAGAATACTTTGATTGCTCTCTTATCCAGCTCTGTCCTCTGTCCATGATGATGTTAGATAAAGAGTGGGACTGAATGTCCTTTTGGACTAAGCACCTACCATGGCATCTGCAAACACGCGGGGCTAAGTTGGATGCCCCAGGTGGTTCCTTCCAGCTCTCTGCTCTTAAATCTTGCCTGAGCTAGCAATTCAATAATAAGAGGTTTCAGTCTGTCCATTTGGGACCTACAGGTCACTGTATAGCAGCCTCCTTGGATTAACTTGCTCAGGTTAATACTGAAATACTGAATGCTTTCGGAGCACAAGTTTACGTTAGTATTATGCTCCCTTAAAAGAAAGAAGGGCTTGAGAGGAACACATAGTAGATGTGGATTAGAGACTGAATGATAGAAATCCCACCTCAGAACATGCGTGTAATATAAAACGACCATAAATTAGATAGACAAGGTCTGCAGACGCATTATGATGATTAGAAACATATGCACGTCTGCGTCTTTCCACCCAGGATTTGCGGTTGCAGGCCCCCTGAAATATGCAGAACAAATTCAGGCCCGTCTCAAATACAGATCACCACTGTGTTTCCATTTAAATGTATCTTACGTTTCTGTTTCGGAAGGAACTGCTGAGTGTTCCTGTGTTAGCAAGCATCACATCCAATTTTCAAGGTTAGTGTTGAATGGGAACGTAAAGAACACAACTGGGCCCATTTTACTCCGTTAGCAGTCCCTTTAAGGTCAGTGAGATTATGCAGTAGCGCTCGGGATAACTGAAGTGTGTGGCCACCTGGCCCAGAATACATGGTTCAAAGTGAATAATGAACAGATGGTTAAAATATGTAGTAGTAATTAATTGGACGGAGGCTAATAGAAATGAATTCTCTCACTTGTTTTGGGTGGCGCTTATTAGGTTCTAATCTGTGATGCTGTTATATGTTAAAATTGTTTTCGTGAAGATTAAGAAAAAGCTTATATTTTTAGCACCTTGTGTAGGATTCACTAGTATGCAAGCCTAATTCTTATTCATGTGCATTACATGCCATCTGTGCATGGGGTTTAGATTGTTTAGAAAGACACCATCTATGTCTTATAAGGCTTCAAATTCTGAAATAAAAAGCTGGAAAGTGTAGATACCATATCGTGGAAGAGATAGGGCAAAGAGATGTAAAGACTGAAACAAATAAAAGGATTATAAAGCTAAATGGTGGACAGGGCTGGGCTTACCTAGACAGCATGGCTATTCAACGTGGACATATGTGAGCAAGCAACGACATGGCCATTTAATATTGGCATTCTTTTTTCTCCGTGCCATGAGCACGAGCAGTCAAGGCAGTCTGCCTCCCCCTGCTTTCCCTGTGACAATTTCGGTTGCTTTTGGTGCCTTTGGGCAGCATGGCTTATAGTTGTGCAATGTAGTTGATTGTGTCATTTTAGGAACAGGTCAGACAAGGACTTGTATAGGATGGTTTGGACAGGGATGGTCCGGCCTCGAACGGGGGGCTCCAGTAGATGACCTCCAGAGGTCCCTTCCGGCCCTGTTCCTCTATGATTGTACCAACACAACCATCCAGAGCGTTGTACTTCCTGAATTCAGGACCTGGGACAAGTCCCAAAAGATTAGGAGGTGCAGACTTTCACGTGTCATTGGATTTTATTAGCCATTTATTGATGGAGATTAAATTAAAAAAGTGTGCCCTTCAACTAAATCCTGAAGAAAACACCCCAAAGATCTTAGTTTGGAGTCTGCTGTTAAGGAGCTTGATAACTGGAAGAAGCACAAAGTGTTTTTAGACTGTGCTTTTCTTTGAATGCATAGAAACTCTACTCCAGATTTCCATCCTTTGCACAGGATCTTAGGGAGAGCAGTGTCCTTAGAGATGAACCTCCGATGACAAGCAATGTCCCGGGTAAAATTAGTGGGCACTGAGCTGTGTCAGAGTATAAAGAGAGAGGACTTTGCAGTCGCAGCAGGAAAATAAACATGGAGAGGATGAAAGGAGCTTTAAATCAACTCCCACACAGTGAACGTCACTCATGCATTTGGTCTGTTTTGTACAAATTCCAGGGAGGATGTTCATACCCCATTATTCTCTGTTTAAAAAAAAAAAAAAAAGGCCAGAGCCCCGATACCGGGGATGTAGTTTGGTTCTGCATGTGTTGACTCTTAGGACTTGGCAAACTCTGTTGCCATTGGAAAAGACTGCTCAGAGCATCATTTCTTGCAACAATCCTGGGCCATGAGGTTTAACTGGGATGGAGAGAAACTGAGGCAGACGTGAGCGCTGAGGAAGGACGTGAATATAAATCTGGTCGATAGGAAAGTTCCACATGGTGGAGGAAGAAACACAGGGAAATGGCAGTGGCTCCCTGAACGCAGGGTTGTTGGATGGAAATCCCTTCTACGTGTTTGTCTTGTTGCCTAGCCCCAACGTCTCTGAAGGCCATGGAACAATTGAAGCACTATAGCGTGACTGTGCTCAATATAGATATCCCAGAAAGGGCCCACCGAGTCATGAAGAGCCTCGGTCCTC